AAAGAGAGAGGTGCAGCCGGTCGGCGCAGGGAGGGCAGACGGGATCCCGCGGGCTGTGGAGAGAGAGCCAAGGATGAGCCGTGACGGGTTCATGTTGGGAACTGCCCCTCGCCGAGCCATACCACACAGGCTCTGGCACCCACAAAAGCTAGTTTCATACACAATTTCAAAGAGATTAACTTTTTAAACTCAAACAAGTAGCGATTCATGAGTGCAGAACTGAAACGGCTCGAGCCACGTTAGGGCTAATAGCAAGTGGAACGAGCACTTGCAGGAACGGCATGAAATAAATGATTGGTAAAAAGAAGTTCATAGTCACAAAAACTAAAGCAGGCGGATGCACACCTCAAACCATGTTTATTTTAACCAAATACTTATTTGAATTTGCCTCTGTCAATGATTACTCTGTTAAGGAAGCTTTGTGGGCAGCCGGGAAAGCACAAGACTCACGTGGGCAGGTATCAAAAAGTAAACTGAGTACACAACGTCACCTCACTCACCTTGTCGCTGCTCTGCCCCAAACAAACTAACCGTGCCTGGAGATGGAAAAAGCACTCGGCAGTGACATGAACAGAAGGCCCATGCTGCAGGGCCTCTAACGGCACTCAGGCCCTTTGCTGCTTAATAAAAACTACAGCTCCGTCACAGGCCAAAGAAGACACAAGGCCGAGCCACGTGAGGACAGCTGAGGAGCACAACCTGATCCGGAGACGCCCAAGGAAACCGCACAAGCGTTGTCCAAATGAACCTCACACCAGTTTCACCTCTCTTTGCTTGCAAGGAGGCACCACACTTTTACCCTGATACCGAGCTATAAGCAAGCACAACCAACGTTTACGCACCCCCATCATTTTTTTATTTGAAGTTAAGCAGTTTACTCTCAGTTTTGAGGATGCCTGGCGCACACCGCGGTGCCTGCTGCTGAGAGGAGCCGCCAGCACCAGCCGCACCACACTCACCCCTTGTCCTGCTGGCAGGGCCCCCCCGTCCGCTCCCCAGGCACCGCAGGATGGCTTTCACACTGGCCGAGGTGGGCGCGCACCCAGTTCTCACAGATGGGGCAGACGTGATGGTTGCTGTGGAGAAGCACGGTTGAGGATGCGCGCTGAGTCTCTCTAGGGAGACTCGAAAATCACCCATGAAGTTCAGCATCTCCAGCTTCCCTGGTACTGAGGAACCCTCCCAAGCAGGATGAAAACCTGGAATTAGCTCTATCACAAACCTCCCTCGCTTTGCTAAAATGTATGAGATGTTTCTATGTCTCTTCTGAAACACCCTGCTTCATAAATCCATACTCTCCTTACAGCTAGACCTGCCGTTCCCGACCTCACCTCATCAGACCTGCAAACCCAATTACGCTTCAGTTCAGCGGTTCTCTCACAGAGCAGAGGGGGAGCAGAGAGGGCAGGTCTGTATCGGCCCTGCACGCCGAGTGCTGCGGGAAGCGTCCGGGCATTGCAGTGTGCAGTGCAACTGCCAGAGAGCAACACGGGTAAAGAAATAGGAGAAACACGTGCACGTGCTGAATGCTTTTTAAAAGCACTGAAAGAACAAAGCACAAAATTGCCCAGAGTGCCTTTGTTTTAGGGGGAAGAAAGCAGAGAGATCAGTGTTTTAAAAGTAATTAAATGCTGTAATCCTCAGCACAGTATCAGGACAGGAAAGAAGTGGGAATAAACAAGGATGACCAGAATACCCTTATTTTCTCCTCAGCTTGAATAAATACAGTTCTACTCTACTCTGAAATGATTTTTATTCAGGCCCACCGTGGCATCTGTGTATTTTTAAGTGGAAGACAGACCTTTCGTGGTCCATGGGCTGCTCTGCCTCGCTCCGCTCCGGAACGGCTTCTCCTGTGCCGTCGCCCCTCAGCACATCTGCAGCTTCGGCAGGAGAGCTGAACGCAGAGAAAGAGAGAGAAGACAACCTGAGTCCACCTGAATGCATGGCTTTCTGAGAATGACTGCTGCCCTACGGAACCACTTTTTTCTAGATAGCAAATACTTTCTACTGCTAAAACTGGACTTAAAGGAAGAAAAGGAATTCAAACTGCGAGACCTGCTCTATCCGTGTATACATGTTTTCTCCCCCACAAGAAGCGCCGCTTTCCCCCTCTTTTGCTTTACGTGGACCTGTGCAAGGGGAGCAGGAGCAAGCGCCTGGTCGCCTGCAGTACCTCGTGCCTGCTGGGCTTCGGCTCTCCCCGTCGCCGATGCTGGGGACCGAGTAGGTGCACGGTGTGCCGGGCTGGGCGCGCAGCCAGTCCTCGCAGGTGGCACAGCCACGGTGCGTGGGCTCGGCGTGGGAGGCCAGGGCAGCGTGCAGCCGCTCTTCGCAGGTGGGACACACGTGGCAACTTGTCGTGTCGCTGCGGATGAGAAAGACGGGGGAATCCCTCCTGCCGAGCCCTGAGAGCAGCCAGCGAGCACCAAACCCTCCCGTGAAGCAGCCGTCGCCTCTTCGGCGAGCGGCGTGTTCGTCACAGAGGCAGAGGTGCTGGCATTTTAGAGTCAAAAACTGCATAAAGATGTGCCGTACCAGTGTGATCAGGCACGGCAAGGTTTGTAGCTAGAAATAACACCGGTGAGACTCGTGGGTATATCGGAAAGACCGCCCAAGGCC